GTTCCCATGGGACGTGACATAAAACGTGGTATAACAAAACACAACTGATATGGAATAACAAAACGCAACTGACAGCTAAACGTAATCTATTCTATGGTTAATTATAGTAGAATTTTGAAGTTGACCGATTGATGTGTTTGAAACAAACCTTGTGGCGGAACAAAGTTCGTCGGGTCCACTAGTTAAAAATAAAAAACTTAACTTCCTATTTGGTTTTCAGATACCTAAGAGAATAATGTAGTTAAATGCCCCGATGCTGGCAGTTATATTGAGTCTAAAATAAATAAATAAAGGCAGGTTATCGGTACCTCTGCTCAGAGTAAAAGTTATTTCGGTATTGGTTTTAATTTTAATTAAAATTGATCTAGATTTTACTAAATTTATTTTTCTTAGTATAAAGTATAATTGTTATTTTACTTAATTTTTTTGCGGAAGAATGCAATGTTTTCCGGTTCCACTTGCATTGCACTTTGAGGCGGTATGCTAAAAATGATCTATAAGCTTCTTAATAATATTTGTAGTTATTATATAAGAGTCCCCTTCTTCTACTTAGTCGGGTTCTCTTGTAAGAGTAGTCGTGGCTACACTTTTTTTTTTTTTTTTTTTTTTTTTTTTTTTTTTTTTTTTTTTTTTTTTTTTTTTTTTTTGTTTTTTTTTNAGTTCCACCTGATGTGTTTACAATTTAGGTCGCCCGCCAGAATGACAGAGCTCCCCATACCGAGCAGCGCCTCGATATCACTGCTTAGAACGATCTTATCCGGTGGAAGATAAACGGACGCGATAACGATCGGCGCGTGTCCCGTCAGTGAGATTCGGCACACTGATGCTTCGATATTAGCGAGCGCGGGAGGATCGAGCGGGGTGGCTACACTGATGATGTATACGCAGAGCCATTCATTAGGTCCTGAAGGAAGATGGATGTTACTATTTAATCGAGTAGACAATTTGTTTCATGTTTATTTGCACAACAAATTCTTCTTATTGTCATTAAGTTAAAGCAAAACTATTTTTAAAAGTAAGCATTTTCCTTAAAACTGACGAACAACTTATGCTTAACCTTATGTGTAATACTAAGAACTAATCTAAATTTCCTATCGAAATATACATATACGAGACCTTTTTCTCTTTTGCCGTGGCAACGATGCTGGAAATGACGTCAGTAACAATGGCCAATGAAAAAAAACATTTAGTTATGAATTTTTACAATATGAATAAATTAAAGTTCACGGTAGGTTTTTTTAACAATTTATTTCTTTACAAATATGTACATAATAATATATTTTATGCGCTTTCACATTATCGTTAAAAAAGTAATGAGATTCCAAGAAAGACGTTAAGCAATACAGTTTTCAGCTTCGGACGGTCAAATGAGGTAATAAAGAGTGTTTGTGATAAATTTTATCATAAACGACTGCCCGTAAATCAAATGCATCGTCTCTACGTGTTGATTGAGTAAGTTGACGACTGATTAAATATATTACGAGTTAGGATGAAGAAATGAATTTACGATTGTATAAAAATGCAACGAAATCTCGTTAGCCAATCCTACAATCTACAATCTACTATTTAAATTTTACGGACAAAATAAATAAAAATATTCAAATGCTCAAATTTGACGAATAAAACCATCTAAGATTCAGCAGTCTACTATCCAAGCTCACCTATCCAATATCTGGGCGGTACTATAGTATTTAGTGTTTCAAAAATATCGGCCCACTGAGTTTCTCGCCGGATCTTCTCAGTGGGTCGCGTTTCCGATCCGGTGGTAGATTCTGCGAAGCACTGCTCTTGCTAGGGCCAGTGTTAGCAACACTCCGGTTTTAGCCCCGTGAGCTCACTTAAGCGTCAAGGAGAAGCTGAAATAGCCTCTCAAAAAAAAACATCGAGCAATTAGTAAGTGGAAAATTAAACTATTTGATGTTATCGATAATAACGATATATTGAAATGTATGATTTTAAAATCAATCGAAATAATTTATTTACGAATAAAATTAACCTTAATATTGGTTCAACCTATTTATACATTTAAGGTGACGCAAAGACTTGAATTATTCCGTTATAATTTATTTGATCAAGAAGTTATTGTTCATGAAAATATTTCATTTGGCCACAATCTACAGGAATAAGCGTCTATAATTATTATAATGGACAGCTCTGACGTTTGTTATCTTCAAGTCTTGAATAGCACAGACGTAACAAAACCAATTCGGTGACGTCACGTGGCGTGAAATAAACTTTATTAATTTTACGATATTTTTTCGTGATTTCCTTCGCTGGATTTTATTGTAGTTGGTGGTATTGGAAATGATTGTTGTGGTCGCAACTAATTATCGTCTGAATTTAAGTGGTTAATAACATTGACTCCAACCTTGTAACGACAATTATCGTGTGTGCTTCTTTATTGTCTTAGATGGGTCTCTAATCCACCGAGTGACCTGCAAAGCCTTGAGATAATATATTTTACACTCCACGTGTATAAGTAAGGCCACTATCGGCCGTAGTCTGAGTAATTGCATTTGTATTTGATGTTAAAGTGCAGTATAGGTGCACAGACAAGAGTTCATCTTATGTGGCTATCGCAGCTCAGACTACATGAAGTTTATGCCGCAATTCGCTTTAATACATGAAAAGCTTCAAAATATTTTATTAGGGTTGTCACATCTATACTAATACTAATATTATAAAGAGGAAAGATTTGTTTGTTTGTTTGTTTCGAATAGGCTCCGAAACTACTGGACCGATTTGAAAAATTCTTTTTCCATTAGAAGCCGACATTGTCCCTGATGAACATAGGCTACTTTTTTTTTTTTTTTTTGGTTTCATGTGTGTTTTAATATTTCCGAAGCGAAGCGAGGGCGGGTCGCTAGTCCTTAATATTACGACAGAAACGGAGAGAATAGTCGTAACTACAAAAATGCTAAATCGTTAATAATGATAAAATACAGAATTTTAATATCCAGTTTTATTCATCATGCATGTCGTTAGTGAGCACGTGCTATGTTAGTATTCAGAAAAAATAATCTATTACCAGCCCTAACGATTTAAGCCCCGACAAATTTGCATCACTCTATATGAATACAATATTTTCGGTAGGCAGCGGCTTGGCTCTGCCTCTGGCATTGCTGAAGTCCATGGGCGACGGTAACCACACACCATCAGGTGGGCCGTGTGCTCGTCTGCCTTCAAGGGCAATTAAAAAAAATACATCGTTCCAATGAAAGCCCCTACCAGCTTTACGTATTGAAATTTCAAAATTCATAGTTTTTTACCAAAACTTTATCGGTTGAGATAAAAGTAAATATCAAAAGCTTCATTTAGATAAATCTGAGTGTGGTATTGTATATCGCTGCCGTGTTTAAATGTAATGCATGTGAAGTGCTTTACACGGCCCACGGCCTTATTATCTATGGCTCGAAACAATAGTGAATATTCGCTTTTTGTGTAAGAGACATGCTGTAAAACCTGTATTTAATACTGTAAAATTGGCTAATTCTCGTTAAATCGAGGAAAAAAAAGTGTTGTTGTGCGCTTTATTATCGCGGAACTTAATTTATTTAGTAATGTTTTAATTACAAAAGTAAATGCAATTAAGATATACGAACAAACAAGCGTTGACGTATGATGTTATTCACTTCACGGAGCATTTACATCAGGTATCGTTTATATTGTAGCGTGATCGACGCTTTTATTAATATGTTAATCGTCTATTACAAATAAATAAGTTTTTTTTTATATAATTAAAACTACTTTTCATGTTGAATCTCGTGTTTTTTATTGTAATTATATTCTTTTGGTCGTCTCGAATACCTTAAGGTTACCGTGGTCGCAGACTACTAAGGTATTCGTAGACATTTGAATATTTATTTATATTTTCTAAAATTCTTTTTTTCTGTAAAAAATATATTTTTTATCTTTTACGTTTCGTTTCACACAGAACGAACCAACAATATTTTGAGGTGTGACAGTTTGTTTGACTAAGGTATTATTAGTGGACATTTGAATATCACTACATAGTATAAAACAAAGTCGCTTTCTTTGTCCCTATATCCCTATGTATGCTTAAATCTTTAAAACTACGCAACGGATTTTGATGCGGTGTTTTTTAATAGATAGAGTGATTGAAGAGGAAGGTTTATATGTATAATAAGATCCATTAAATAGTGGATAATTCAATAATAAATTACAGTTTCCGAAGCGAAGCGAGGGCGGGTCGCTAGTTTATTTATATTTTCTAAAACTTTATTTTTCTGTAAAAAATATTTTTTTTGCTTTTACGTTTCATTTCACACAGAACGAACCAACAATATTTTGAGGTCTGACAGTTTGTTTGACTTGGTTTTTCATCATCACGATGTTACACATTATAGTATTATTTTTTTAAAGAACACCGTTCCTTTTATTACTACACTTATTCAAATGAGGGTTTATTCCTAAAGAGTATTTTTCATAACGTTCAATACACAGAATTATATTCCTATGTGATCATATTTTTTTATAATTCTTCCAAGATCATAGTCCTCGTTTCGTTTGGTGAATATTCTGTTTTATAAGTATACTTATGTAGCCGACTTAACCTAATAGGTGTATGGCTCTAATAAAGAATAAAAAATAAAAAATAAATACACTTATGTAACCAAATTAATATTTTTTTATATTGCTTAGGGGGGTGGACGAGCTTACAGCCCACCTGGTGTTAAGTGGTAACTGGAGCCCATAGACATCTACAACGTAAATGCGCCACCCACCTTGAGATATAAATTCTAAGATATCAGTATAGTTAGTTACAACGGCTGCCCCACCCTTAAAACCGAAACGCATTACTAGTTCACGGCAGAAATAGGCAGGGTGGTGGTACCTACACGTGCGGACTCACAAGAAGTCCTACCATCAGTAATTACGCAAATTATAATTTTGCGAGTTTGATTTTTATTACACGATGTTATTCCTTCGAAATTCGAAATTACAAATGTAATATTATAAGATGTACTTTTGTATTTCAGATACCGTAATGCTCGTTACGCAGCGAGACGTGTGCGGAAGCGCGTCATCTTCAAGCACGGAGACTGCAATGTGGTCCAATGGAACGTGGCTAAGCGCAGGCGCCGATACCTTCAGGACATCTTCACGACCCTCGTGGACGCCCAGTGGCGCTGGACGCTGCTAGTGTTTGCGCTTTCCTTCATCCTCTCGTGGCTCTTGTTCGCACTTATCTGGTGGCTCATTATTTTCACTCACGGAGACCTCACCCCAATTCCACTTACGGAACAGAGGGAACCACCCGTTCCCTGCCTCAACAACGTCAACTCCTTTACTGGCTGCTTCCTCTTTTCTGTTGAAACTCAGCACACCATCGGCTATGGATCAAGGACAACAAATGAAGAATGCCCCGAAGCAATATTCGTCATGTGCATACAAAGTATTGTCGGAGTTTTCATTCAAGCTTTCATGGTAAGAATTAATTACGTAATACTTTTTCCATTTGAAGAAGGCAGATGGCCCATTACATACGGCCCATTTACAATGATTGTCCACTCGTAGACATATGTATGTACATCAATGCATATTATTGAGGGTTTTTTCTAACCAGTTTAGACACCCAATTAATCATTGTTTCTTCACTTTGAAACCATACCGGGACTCGAAGCTGCCTGTGTTATATATGGGCAATAAAGCACGTCTAGATATGATAGTAAAATTGGATTTATTAACTACGCACTGATGGTAGGACCTCTTGAGAGTCCGCGCGGGTGGGTACCACCACCCTGCCTATTTCTGCCGCGAAGCAATAATGCGTTTCGGTTTGAAGGACTTTAGAACTTATATCTCAAGGTGGGTGGCGCATTTACGTTGCAGATGTCTACGGGCTCCAGTAACCACCTAACACCAGGTGGGCTGTGAGCTCGTCCACCCAACTAAGCAATATTAAAAAAACGCACTCTAATAAAATAGCTTTTTTAATCTACAAAACCCCTACAGTACCCCGATATACTTAACAGAAGCGTGATGACACATTTTCTTCAATTTTCTCAAAAAAAAATTTATCTTCCTGCTTCGATGCCATTATGATAATTTAATATGAAAATAAACTTGGAATCGATCCAAATTTATAAATGTAACGTACTATATTATAACGATGAAGCCAGATGTTCTTTTGAAAATCTTATAATTGTGAAGTTAAATATGCCACTCACTATACATATGCCACTATACAGTTTATTATCTCAATGCAAAAAACTTTAAGTGTTAATTATCTAGGGAAAACATTGAACGAAGTAAAAAAGCTAACGAGCGTCGAACAGATGTTCATTTATTTTGGTTCCAAAGTCGTTTACAAGAGCTTCTGGAGTCTCACGACAGACAGTGCACGAAGGTTATTCTAATTTTAGGTTGGGATCGTGTTCGCGAAACTCTCTAGGCCAAAAAAACGCGCCCAAACTCTTCTGTACTCCAGGAACGCCGTAATTTGTTTAAGAGACGGACAACTGTGTCTGATGTTCCGAGTCGGCGACATGAGAAAATCTCACATAGTCGAAGCTCATATTAGAGCGCAAATCATACGCCGCAAGGTATTATGTTACGACAAAACGGAGACTGGTTAGTGATTGGGGATTTCAGACGGCTTTAATATTCCATTTAACATGAACTCGCACTGACTCCATTTTGTAATGCAACGAGAATCGAAATCTCGATGGCGTCGAATGTAACAGGCGCTTAGGAGACGTCCTAATCGACGGACCAAGATTTCGATTGCCGCAATTACGGAATTTAAACACGAAATTCCTTTGTCTCTTGTCCATAGGTGGGTTTAATATTCGCGAAGCTGGCGAGGGCCAAAAAACGTAACACGACGCTCCTGTTTTCGAGAAACGCTGTTATCTGTCTGAGGGACGGTGAATTTTGTCTCCTATTCCGCGTCGGGGATATAAGAAAGTCGCACATTCTGGAAGCACACGTGCGTGCTCAGATCATACGTAAAAAGGTACAAAAATGTATTCATAAAAAAAAAGTTGTTTTACTATGAACGTGCATTCACTATGTGTATATTTAAACATTCTGTCGCGTGTTTTTTTACTTGTTATGTTTACTTTTGTTCTATTATTTTAATTATGACCCATCTATGGACTGCGGCATGGCTCACAAAACCTTACTGTTGTATTTATTATTTTACGCTTTATCCATTCTAACAAAAGCCAATCGTTATTAATAACAATAAAAACAATTTCATAACAATACATACGTTTGCACATATTAACAATTTTCATATAATTTTATTTTTGTTATTTTTATACTTACGATTCTTTTCGAGTTTTTTTTTTTCGATTATCGCGACTCTTAAACGTAATTAACATTAATTTTACAGTTTAATCTCGAGTTTTTATTATCATTGTATTATTTTCGACGCTACGAATACTTTTTACTTTTCGTAGTCGTAATCTAATATAATGATAATAAAAAACGCGAAATTAAACCATAAACATTGTTATAATTACAATCAAATTGCATTCGTCAACAATAAATTACTTACGGACTAGATTCGGTATAAAAATAGCAAACATTTAATGTATGTCCATAACAAACTAATATGTTGCTGAAATTATTCGCTTCTATAAATATTATGAATAACAAAATAGCTACAGAAACTTACCAGTCAAAATTAATAAGTTGAAACATTAAAATTTTCAATGATCTTTAATTAGAAAATTAAATTTCCATAGATAACAAGGGAAGGGGAAGTTTTGCCCTTTTACCAGCAAGAGTTGAAGGTGGGGGCTGATGGAGAAGAGGACAGACTTATGTTTATTTGGCCTATGACCATAGTACACAAGATCAATGAGAAATCTCCGCTATACAATTTGTCAGCGTCGGATATGCTCAGAGAGAGATTCGAGATCGTAGTTATGCTTGGTAAGTTATATATCTTATCTAAATTTTAAAATATAGATGTTGATAATTTAAACATATATTTATAAAATACTAGCTGACCCGGCAGACTTCGTAGTGCCTTAATCGATAAATAAAAGACACAAACAAAAGGAATCCGTCTGACGGGGGGACATCAAAGGGAAAACAAAATTGTTATTTTTATTTAATTCCGAGCATTTTCATATTTATCTACCTTTTAAACCTTCTCTGGACTTCCACAAATAATTCAAGACCAAAGTTAGCCAAATCGGTCCAGCTGTTCTCGAGTTTTAGCGAGACTAACGAACAGCAATTCATTTTTATATATAGAGATTTTCATCATGATAACTAAACGAAAGACGACCTAGTTTAAAATAAAGTGATTAAATACAATAACAATAATGTCAGAAATTCATATGTTAGTATTTAGTTATAAAAAAAAAAAATGAGGTCTTACTCATTTAAGCAGACATGAAGGCAAAAGTAATTCTAGAAATGTATTTATTTTTAATGAAAACGTTGACTTTTTAAATACAAATCGCATAGCGTGCCTCGTCTTGCTTTATCTTATAGTTTTTTAAACTAAGCTTTGGTCCATAGTAAGGCTATTAAAATTAACAATTGAATATATTTTTGATGCAAATTTACAAGAAACTAAAGTCAACGTTACCGTTTAATTGAGGTTATAATTATCAATTATCATTCGTCCCATCATAGTAAAGAAAACCTTCTGTGAGTAAATTCAAATAGATAATGCGTTACGAAGTCCTACTATCCAATACGGTGACGTTGCATCAGAGCTTCATTGCCCTGAACTTTGGCTACACAACAACAAAACAACACGTGACCATTCTTTTTATTAGCATTGTCGGAAACGAATACAAATCCGATTTTACTAGTTTTTTTATTTACTTAAAATAAACAAACACTAACTAGCTGTGAGATAAATTAACTAAATTATTTCTGTGTGATGTCAATATTTGTTTCGGGCAATAATGACAAGAATGAAAGTCGTTTATAGGTAATTTTAGGTTAGCAGATCTTATTAGCAGACAGGAGCGTAAATATGTCGAGAAACTTGTTATTCAGCTAAAGTTGAATATGTAATTGCCGGTTGCGATGTGCAATTTGATTTATAGGTAATAAACCTTCGCGTTACTTTATATTATCGTGTCAATAAAACTGAATTGATGTTCGTCATTATTCACGTATAAATAAATGACCCCACACGGAAAATAATTCAATAAATTTCTTTGATTATAACGAACCTTTTGTACGTGACATCATTGATATAAATGTTTATTTAACTGTTATCAGTGGAATTCTCAGGTATTTTATTGTAAATGGAATAAAGCTTTATAAAGTCCATGGACAATGTCAACAGAACGTTGGAAACACACTTTGCTCATCGCTTATTGTTTTAGTGAAAATGTTGATTTTAGATACAATAACGGGCTCGCAGCCAATACGTATGAAGCGCGACCCGTATTCAAAGTTGATTGTTGAAACCGACTATATTAATAATCGTACTATTTTGTGTTAGCGTAGACGGGAAATGGACTCCCCATTTTACCTTAAAAAAATGTGAGCCATCACGGGACGCCTGGCAGATGTGAAACATCGACATTATTTTGTAAAAGTAATATGCAGAAAAGAACAGATTGTGATAGGAACTAAATATCATAATGATAAAATAAAATATTACGAAAAAATAATTTGTTTTCAAGTAAAACACAGGTTATGTGTACTGTAGTAAACAACACTGTAGGTATACACTACGGAGTATACACCATAGGTATCCGAGCTCAGTGTAGCGAGAGAGACGGCTTAACGCCGGATCGAGTGGGAGAGAACCGCACAGTCGATTGCGCATGGCGACGCGTCGCCACGGCATGCGTCGCCACGCCAGAAATCGGTTTTACGTGCGGCTATAGATGTTTCACATCATAAATTCGACATGCTCCAAAATCTAAGTTGTACCAACGGCCGAATAAAGCTGTCGCTAAAATCAGTCAAAATTATATAATAAATTTAGCGTAATTTTCTGAATACCTCCAGCATGGAAGGTAATTAGATTTTAGTTTAAAGTGCGCAACCAGGATCCCAGGATACAAGTCACAGCGCTAGATCAGCTTGATTGTTTGTCAGAACTAGTCATATTTTATCTAGAATCTCGCTATCTCTTATACTGAGATTTTCTGTTTTTCTCGAGCTTTTGGGAATAGCAATTTAATATTTCATCTATCTATCTATCTATCTATCTATATATATAAAAATGAATTGCTGTTCGTTATTCTCGCTAAAACTCGAGAACGGCTGGACCGATTTGGCTAATTTTGGTCTTGAATTATTTGTGGACGTCCAGAGAAGATTTAATAGGTAGATAAATATGAAAATGCTCAGAATTAAGTAAAAATAACAATTTTGTTTTTCCTTAGATGTGTCCCCCGTCGGACGGATTCCTTTTGTTTGTATTCAGTTTATTTTATTCATACTTTATTTATCGATTGAGGCACTACGAAGTCTGCCGGGTCAACTAGTAATAGATAACGATAAAATATTTAAAATATATCGCAATATTGTTCACTTTTAATGAGCATTCGCTTGTTATTGATTTCAGAGGGTGTCATAGAGTCAACGGGAATGACAACTCAAGCCCGCAGCAGTTTCTTACCATCAGAAATTCTCTGGGGACATCGTTTCGAGACCATGGTCAAGTTCAGAAAGGATACCGGTGAATATGAGGTGAGTTCTTTAGTTTTTCTTCTAGCTTAAGCGGTAGGTAGCGGCCTATCTCTGCCCCTGGCATTGTTGATTTCCATGGGCGATAGTAACCGCTCACCATTAGGTGGACCATATGTTCATCTGCCTACAAGGGCAATAAAAAAGACGAACTCGTGACCTCCTTGGTGTTCAGCCTATAGAAGTAGAAGAGACAGTTCATAAGCTGCAGATATTGAGTTATGTAGCATATACATACGTATGTACTACTTATATAATGTGTGCATTATGTGTATATAATGTGGACATTATGTAAGTACTTTATATTTAAAAAAAAAAGCACGAGTTCAGGAAGTTTTTTTTTATTGCTTAGATGGGTTGACGAGCTCACAGCCCACTTGATGTTACGTGGTTACTGGAGTCCATAGACATCTACAACGTAAATGTGCCACCCACCTTAAGATATAGGTTCTAAGGTCTCAGTATAGTTACAACGGCTGTCTCACCCTTCAAACCGAAACGCATTACTGTTTCACGGCAGAAATAGGCAAGGCGGTGGTACCTACCCGTGCGGACTCACAAGAGGTCTTACCACCAGTAATTACGCAAATTATAATTCTATATTATCATTCTCACTCAACCTAAATGCCATAGATATATATATCTGTCTCATTTTCGCATCGCTTTTTTGTTTCGTTGGGTTTCGAAAGCACGATGGTCGTAACACCGTCGCCACAAACCAATTAATTAGTTCGAAGTTTTCACTGCAAGAACTATGCAGCATATATCAACGATGACTTCCGGATAGCGTGTGACGCCCGTCGGCGTTTCGGTATGACTGCGACTTGGCGCATGCACAAAGACAATCACGTGACAGTTCATAGGGCAACTTTTATATTTGTATAAAGCCGCGCCAATAAAGAAACGAATCGAAAATGGCGTCTATGTACCTGCACTGACAGATGGTAGGGTCAACAAATAAAAAGAAAGGTAGAAAGAAAAAGTTGTTTATTAGAAAAAAATATAAAAAAAACAAATGAGAATGTACTTTACTTGACTTTGGTGCCCTGGCAGAGGGGGAGGTGTAAAATAAATAACAAAATAACCACGAAATAAGGAACAAATTCAACAAATAACAATAGAATTTTAGAGAAAACAGAGCGCGTCTGAGAACAAAGTCAGAACTGATATTTTTTTTGCATGCAGTACGCGCCGTGTGCGACTAAAGACAGCAATAGTTTAGAGTGAGAGCGCATGATCGCCGCCGCCATTTTAGATTCGATTCTTTATTGGCGCGGTTATCTGCGTAATTGTTGAATTTGCACCTTGCCTCTCGTTTTAAGCGCGTAATAAATGTAATATTTAGAATAGTTCGTTTAATTTCAACTTTGCCATTCATTCGCCCGGTATAGACAGATCTATTTGTCGTCTAAAGTTTTATTGTATCGATGCCTGCCTATTTCTGCCGTGAAGCAGTAATGCGTTTCAGTTTGAAGGGTGGGACAGCCGTTGTAACCATACTGAGACCTTAGAACTTATAACTCAAGGTGGGCATTTACGTTGTAGATGTCTATGGGCTCCAGTAATCACACCAGATAGTCTGTGAGCTCACGAGCTCGTCCACCCATCTAAGCAATAAAAAAAAGATCGTAATCGACAATCGAATTTTTAGTTAATATGTAGCTGACATTGAATCAAATTAGCATGACTTGAAATTAATTTTTATTTGGAACTAATTACAATTATTGTTTTGTTTATTGCAACACTGTACGTAACGATTTCACAACCCTAGGCAGAGATGAGTGGTTAGTGAAGCGCACAGACATCACAACGTGAACCAAGATACCTGACTTGAGACAGAAGTATCAATCAAGAAACAGCCATCCCACTCTCAAAATCGTAAAGCATGTTCCATGTTAAAAGTATTTTCGCGTAAAACTACTTTAGTTAAGAGACGTGTTGAAGCTTTCAACGCTCATCTTTAGCCTATCTACAGCCTAGTGTCATTGTTCCAAGCAAGGCCGGATTTAAACTTAATGCCGCTCCTGGGCACCGGAAAAAAATCCGCCCCAATACTGAAATTTTACCTAAACTTACAGTTTATACATTTTCTTCTTCAACTTTACTAGAAACTTTATTATAATATGTTATATACATATTCCAAAAACATATATAAATATATGTGTTTTTTTTTAACCCTTATAAATTTGCACTGAGGCTGACTCATAATTATACATGAATAAAAATTAGATTACTTTATTTCTGGTAAATAAAAAAAGTCTATTATTATTTTAAATCTCCAAAGAAATAAATTGATCAAGTCATTTCGATTATTAGTTTTACCAAAAGTGCCAAAGCTATAATTCGCAAATAATAGATGAATTGAATTTCTTGAATTATCAATTAAACAGAAAACTATTAATTATATTATAGAATCAATTAATTACATAGAGCAATCATGATAAGAAAAAAAAACACTTTCAAAATTTTGCCGCCTTCAAAATTTTGCCTCTCTGGGCACTTGCCTCGATTGCCCCTAGTGTAAATTCACCACTGGTTCCAAGTAACAGCTAACTTATAATTCATAGTAAATTCTAAAGAAATCAACTATAAGACGTTACATTACAGTCGAATTAGAATATAAATACAACTCATATACAATGCCATGAAAACATGAAGCGTACAGAGTGTCAATGAGTCTGTTGTGTATATGTGTGTGTGTAAATGAATTAATAAGTGTTATTTATTTTATTTCAGGTTGATTACACGCGGTTTAACAACACATACGAGGTGGACACGCCTTTGTGTTCAGCAAAACAACTAGACGAACTGCGCGCCTCTGTTTCAACCTCACAGAAACTAGGTGAGTGAAAACGTTCATGTAAATGTAGAATATGGAAGTTTTCATACGTAAAATTAAATTTAATTTAGTTATAAATTCAAGTTAGATTCTCCATATAAAACTTCCTTAGTTTTTGCTTCCCGCAGTTTTGAGTTTACAAACAGTCAAAGTAAATGTATATTCAAAACTAGCTTAACGGGAACCTCAATTAAAAACAGTGACAAAAAAACGTTTTTTATAAAAAGCAAAAAAAAAACAATTTAAAAAGCTTCATTATCTTTTTTGTTATTTAAGAAAACGAAAACTCGATTATTTGTATCTACCTACAATATCGATAAATATTTAATCTAAAATTTACATCACTTTTTAGATCGCATGCTACCGAAAACATTCTCAAACGACACGCTAGAGCTGAGCTCCATCGATTCGATGTCTTTGGATGAACACATCGAGATTAAGATTCCGGAATCGAGGGCCCGCGAGAACAGACTGATGGCGCAAACAAACTTTGTACAGCACGTCAACGAGAAAAACAAAAACCCAAGTCATCATAACCACTTGGCCGTTGAAAACGGACAAGATTTACTGCACAAGAACACTATAGAGAGTAGAGTCGAAGGAAAGGACAATCATCATATGCACAGAAGTCATAGTCATGCCAGCATGAAGAGGGTTCATGGGCTAATACCGAATGGGATATGCCATCCGATTAGTGGTCATGAACATGTACCCGACGATCATACTTTAAACAAGTAAGTTATTATTGTAATCGTGAATTAGATTTAAAACAAAAAAGAGACGAAAGAAAAAAGGAGAGAAAAATTAATATAATATTTTATATTATTAATATAATGCAGTATTAACTGCCCAGTTTTTACCCAACTGTTGGTAAGGTTCGTTGTGATTCTACATTGTCACCAAAACCGTACCTATTTCTTCTCCGAAGCAATCGCGGGCTCTAATTCGAAGGTCAGAATTGACTACGTGTAGGTCAGAAACTTTACAATACAACTGAGGCTTCAACCTTATGCCAGAAGGCTAGCAGCATTTACATTGGCTACGGACATTAAAGACCATTTAGTATCAAATACATGTGACTTCGTCTGAACATTCTTTGCCAATAATTAAAACAAAAAACACTTTAATTAATTTTATAACGAATTAAAACTATCACAGTCATATAGTTTAATGATGTGTGAATAATCAATAATGTACTTAAAAGATAAATAACTGAGATACCACAATTAAACACTTGTCTATATCGATTGAATCACTAAGTTTTCTGGAAGCTTGGTGATCGTCTCTGCCAGTAGAGCTCGCTCGAAGACCCACGAAAAATAACAAATAAGGATGTACGCATTATAATTTAAATTATCCAATCATGCTTATTTATTTTAGGAATTTCTTATTATTGCAGATCCCCGAGTGAAAACTTCATAGGGAAAACTCCAGTGATTCCCATCCTTGTAACGTCACCGGAGGCGGAGCCCGCCTGACGCCCCCCACTTCCACTTTCCAACTTCAAAGCGACAAGACACAAGAAGTCCCACGTTAGGTTCTCAAATTGCTGTGGGGACTTAACAAATTTAAATACAATTTATATATGAATTCCATTGATGTACTCATTTTACATTAAAAAAAGATGTCGCTTAAATACTTTATTTCGATTGTAGATTTTTTAAGCGGCATCTAGTTTTAACAGAGAGAACAACGTATGTATTAGTATAATTAATTTCCTTTCATAAGTCTGAATTTTATGAACGTTAAGAGGTATATAATTAATTGATTTAGTAAAATTTTACCACTAATTTATTCTTCGAACTATTTCTAGTACATGTGTCGTTGAAGAAACCACAACACGAGTGGTAGGAATTACAAAAAAAATAATAAGCGTAAAATATATTTTATTAAAAGTATTAAACATAGGAGTCAGTGAGTTATAGTACAACTGAATTAGTTTTAGATGATTTAAATTAAATTTGATTCGCAATCGTGAAACTCAAAGTTTCAAAAGTCCTATGTTACCAAAGTCCTCAAAACTCGACTGGTTAGAAAAAAAAAAAACTATTTATTGCTTGTAATTTTATCCAAAATTTTATAGGTTTTATTGATGTATTGATGACGTATTTAATAAAAAATAACCTTGATTATAAATTGGAATCTAACTATTTAGGTTTGTGTTTTAAATAGGTGCCAATAAAAACGAATTTAAAATTTATATTCACAACATTGTAAGAATGTTTTTAAAATGCTACATTTAGTACACGAAACTGTAGGTAGTAACTGTTTATTATTAATATTTTTATTATTATTTTATTTATTATATTATTGATTCACATAGTAAAACACAAATATGGATACACTTATATTCGTATGATATCAAATATTGAATCTGGTTTGATAAAATAAACACCACGTCGAAATGTTTCATTACTTCAAACTATAAAATTCTATATACTTTTTAAACCTAACAAAATTTGTTTTTATTCATATTTTTTATATCAAAATAAAGTGTGACTTTTTATTGTATAATAAAAAAAATGAAGCGCTTAAAATTGGATTAAATCCAAATAAAATTTTATATCCCTATAAAGGAGCGCTATTGCTTAAAATTAAAATAATTTACATGGCTATTGTATGAAGCGGTATACGTACAATCATAGTATCTAATGTTTTAGCAATTTTATATGTCATACATACTATTAGACTATTCAAGAAACGTTTCAAGTAAATACAGGGCAGGACGTTTTTAAATATTATTGTGATTTTTTCTAGGTATATAGCGTATTGTGGTTGAAAAAGAAAACAAGAACGTAATGTTGTACAATGTATCATAGTATTTTTAATATTTCATATGTATTTTACTTATTTATCGTAACACAACATCTACCTAGTAAAATTCAAAATTAAATGTTCATATGTAAGTGTTGATAATGCTTGTGAAGTCTTAAAAAGTTTCTTTCCATTTATCCGCAAAGAAAAATGTACTTTAAATAAAATAAAACAGCGCCAAATTTTATTTGTCATTTATAATCCATTTATTCCCAATCACACGAGTTACTGTAATCAAAGTAAAATAATTAAAGATAATGCAGCAGTAACCGAAAGTTTGAGAATCGGTGGACTTAATATCGGGGGCCAATGTCGGCGCAGGCGCTGAAAAAATATATATGCCCAATGCTTTTTCTGGTGTTGATATAAATAAATATATCTATATCAGAGTAAATAAAAAGTATTTTAACAATAAGACTTTTATTTCCCTTTATTTTATACATAATAAAAACAATATACATACATATAGACATTGTCTTACAGATATAGAGTATAAGGACGAATGTGCAAACTTTAAAGCTTAATACGAAATTCTCGTATTATTCCTGCGTTTACTTTAAACCTATTTATTGAACTAAAAAGTATTGGGTTAAAGTAAGGATAATTAGCTACCCACGAAGTTTTTGAGTTTTATTTGATAGTTACTTCTACTTGACAACAGATGGCGTGGATAGTCAGTTTTGTAGATTCAATTCTTTCCTTAAATTAACCATAGAAGCACTCATAAACTTAAGGTATCTTTAGAACATACAAAATGAGTACCTACATAGCTTTCAATTTATCGAAATTAACGCGATTTTGACATTTAATTGACTATCATCACCAGCCCACAAATATTCACTGCTGGACATATTCACAGGACTCCCTCAAGGTTCGCCACAATGACCGACATAATTGATCGTTACATGGTTATTATGTTATTGTTTATGAAAAATTATATCCGTAACAAACTATTACACAACCGTAGTAATCTGGTTTTATTTTATTTTTTTTATTTGAGATACATTTTTCTACTAACAAGCATACCTACATAAAGAATACAAGGATTTTTAACAAACGCTTCACTTTCTTATGAAAATGATATGACGCTCTTACGGACACGCTAATACAATCAATCCGAAGTAAATTAAAAGGTACTACATATTTCCTATCGCAAATTATTACTTAAATAAATCTTAATAAATTTGAATTAAAAATAGTGTAAGAAAACAATATTTTATTGTAAAAAAAGCGTGGGTTGCTTTTCAGGATATTATCAAAATAACCCTTCTACTCATATCTGTTCATAAAACATTACTGATACCATGCACTATTTTCAATTCAAATTTATTAAGATTTATTTTCTACTTTTTAGTGGGATTTTTTTCTATAAAAGTGTATTTTTTTAGTTTTTTGAAACTATTATTTATTTTACATTTTTTAGTTGAATTTCAATTTTTTCAATTTTTTTTTTCAATTTTTTTTGTATGTATTGTATTGTCATCGGTCCTTAACAAGTATACCAAATTACGAGTTAATTCGACGATTTGAAGACGGTCAAAATCATGTTCAAAGATTCCGTTATATACTAACATACTTACATACGTCTGAAGCTAATAAAAGCGTATTAAAAATTAAGTTACTGCGAATGTACAATTTATAAACTACATATTATATCTTACGGATTAAGAGTCGACGAAACGATATTACGCTTAACTAAACAAGTTTATCTCCGTTTTTCTTGTTTCCTTTCTTCTTTTTCTTATCTATTTCCTCTTCACTTGAAGAAGACGATTGGTCTTCGGGCCCATTGAAGTAATCCGGTGGATATTTCACTGTGGACGGTCTGTTGGTGAGGCTGGCTCTCCGGATAGCGTCGGCGACAAGTCTGTCCGCTATGTTGAGGATAGGAGAGGCAGGTACACCTCCAGAGTTGAGAGAAGTGCGGTATATGAAATCACCAGGTACTGGTGATTGAAAACCTAGAAAAGGAAAAGTATAGTCTCAAAATAACATTGAGATTCATAATTAAGTACTTACTATGATATGTGTTTTAAAATTTTAGCGAAATTTCGATATTAACTATTATATTATTATCTCTATTTAGATATTATGTTATTAGATATAGAATGTGGAAAATTAATTATTCATAGTCTCCGGTAATAGTTTTGTTTGAGGCTTATTGCGTGTTTGAGTGAAAGAGCTCACGGCCCATACCGGAACCCGTAGGTCCAAATGAATACTGGGTCATCTATCTTCAAATATGAAATCGAAGTCTTAATTGTATAGTACAACGTGGAAGCCTTTGTGAATACGTGCGTACGTATTTTCATAGAAAATAAATCAATTAAATAAAATAAATCTGTAAAAGTAGACAATAAAATATTGACAAGACCAAATAAACCATGTTCGAATAACTTTCTACTAAAAACGCAATTTTTTTTATATTGATTATATGGGTGGACGAGCTCACAACACACCTGGCGTTAAGTGGTTACCGGAGCCCATAGACATCTACAACGTAAATGCGCCACCCACCTTGAGATATAAGTTCTAAGATCTCAGTATAGTTACAACGGCTGTCCCACCCTTCAAACCGCAACGCATTACTACCTACCCGTGCGGACTCACAAGAAGTCTTACCACCAGTAATGTAATGCTTACTGAAATTTGGCGAAATTAACGATCTTAATTTCCATCAAACATTTAATGAAACTATATAGATATATATGTGTATGTATGTAAACAAACAATACTAACCAGTTCACCAACACGACATAGACATTCACGAACACACCCAAAAAGCGGTACAGCAGGAATATAACTACATATTTTCACGACACACAAATGCAAAACACAAATGGAATTCATGATTACAATAATAGTAATAAACTAGGCACATACAGCTTGGGTATTATCGACCAAATCTTTGCGTTTATTTTCATATGAAACTACAAGTTGGTTCATTTTAATTATTATTTCTATTTTAATAATTATTCTCAATGCTTCGATTTAATTGCATCGGTAGCAATCTTATTGTGTTTGAGCAGTATTACCTTTTTAATTAATTTGCGTCTTTCGGTGTTTTAATTCGATAATGGGGTTTCGAGGTGATTAAAATCAAACAACAATCAACATAAACACATAATTATTGACTTCACATTAACATTGACAAAAATTATACGCGTTTCGAATTACATATCATGGCTGCTTCATTTAAATGAACTTATTTAGTACGACACATACGATATATGGGATATTCATTCTTTATTTGTTTATTAATAACATTATCAATATAATTTATGATTTTACAAATAAATTTGGGAATTTACTTCTTAATATTGCTGTTTGAAACCTGTTGCTAAAAATACAACAAAAAAACTTTCGAATCTTTAAAGTAAATATTTTTAACGTCCTAAATATTATATATACATTACATGTTTATTTTCAATTCTTATATACATTAATAAATTAACTCTGCCCATGCGTAACAGATTATCAATAATAAATTATGGAATGTTATGTGACTAATAATATCTACTTAATTACACAACCTATTTATTATAATGGTAACGAACAATTTAGATTTCAAAAATGATGAGATTCAGATATTGCCAAGAACTGACTAGGGAGCACTGCTTAAATTTTCTTTTTCTTATTATGAGATTTTTTATTTATGAAGAACATTCAGATTCAAATTCAGATTCAGTAAAAATAGCTAATTATAATATACGAGCGTGTTTCACAACTGGATAGGGTTGCTTTAATAATATTGACAATCAAGAGAATTTAAACACATTTCGTTGGTCAGAACTACGCTGCCGTGAAACAGGCTTTACAATTGAATCTACAACGTAACAGTAAAGTCGCCGTCTTTATTTTCGGCCTTAGGTTCGGTGGTGGGAGCTCTATCCGGCATCTTCAGAATTAACTGCTGCTGTGGATGTTCCGCGCTTTCTGTATGACATCACAAACATAACATACAGTTTCTATTTATGTAAAAACGCTCATCAAAACCTCAGGATAAAAAGAATTAAAATTTCTGAAATAATATCGAACATCTCTAAATTAATGATTAACGGGATTTATATAAATTAAATTATGTATCCTAATATGCGTTTCATTAACTTGCAATAATAATTGTAATTAATACTTTCAAATATTTTATATTTGATCATTTTTCTCAATGATGATACTGAATGTGAATAGACCATAAGAATATTCTGTATCCTTTATGAGACTTTTTATTAAAATATAATTGCATTAAAATAAAATAAATTTAGCAAAACAAATTATAAATCTAGTGCTTATAGTTATTTACAGTGCGTGAAAAATATTAAATAAATTTCATCATAATTCAGATCATTAGTAAATTAGTGTTCAGTGAATCTTTTGGGCATAATAGAGACAAGTGAAAAGTAATAGGGAACAAATGCAAAAAAAATGCTACAATACTTCTCAGTAACTGAAATAAATTCGAACGCGCTGTGACATTTGGTATGGAAAAAGATAGAAATATATTTCTTACCTTGATTTGTTAAGAATTTAATTTTTGNTTCATCATAATTCAGATCATTAGTAAATTAGTGTTCAGTGAATCTTTTGGGCATAATAGAGACAAGTGAAAAGTAATAGGGAACAAATGCAAAAAAAATGCTACAATACTTCTCAGTAACTGAAATAAATTCGAACGCGCTGTGACATTTGGTATGGAAAAAGATAGAAATATATTTCTTACCTTGATTTGTTAAGAATTTAATTTTTGGAACGTAAAACTACACTGTTAACTTAGCTATATAATATATCTACAGTCTTGTTTTTGGTGGGAAAACGGATTACTTCTTAAATAAAATTCCTATATCCCAGTTTTAATTTATTAGTTAAATTCATTAAAAATTTCCATGGGACAAAATCAATAAAACCGATGAACTACAAAGTCAAGATATTGCTGTTATTATCTTATATCAAAAGTACACATTTTATTTTGGGGGCTTATTAAAACGAAGGAACAATAATTTCATATTCCCTGCAAAATATCTTTGTTTGCACAAACAATAAACCGAGAAACTTCTTAACAATGCCACTTAGTCTCAATTGGTACACTTGGGTTTACTAAATTCTTAGTAAACGTTTATTTTAAGGTCAATTACGACTATAACTTGATAAGACAGGTAATCTCACTTGTATCAATCAACAGTAAACAAATGATAAATGGTGAACACATAGGTGTGTATTGAAATATGATAAAAGATTACGTTGATCTGAGCGAATACCGATACCTAATATGCGTAAAAGCCTAACTAATTTTAGTCAAAATGAAAGCTATATTGTAGGATTAGATGAGGGAATTTTCATTTATCGGTTTTACTGATATTATATTTCTGTTTGTGACTAGAGAGTGGAGAAAGAAATTATTTATGCCATTGTTCTGATATTACATCAAAATAAATGTATCCTGTTTTGAAAAAGGGGAAACCAATTGGCAAAATGGCGCATCCTGCTGAGATTCGATAATCGGTAAATAAGAAACGACTCGAATTATTTTAAGGGGAGAAGTAGGAAGTGACTATTACACTATGCCGTTACAAGGTAAAATATTGTGAGAATCTAAATTGTCCAAAGCGTACTGGACAAAACGAAATTATTTAAGTATACTTATTTAATAAAAATGAAAGCAATTTATGTTTTTTTTTAATTTCAACCAAAAACTGCACTTTACAACAACCAAGTGAATAGATAAGTATTACGTTGGAAAAAGGACTCTTTAAGTGTGAACCATAAACCCATTGGAAAAAATCTTATGGGTGCCTATGTAACTGGTTTATAACGTAATATTTAAGTTGTTCGTTTTGCAACAATAAAAGATCTGGCAATGTGATAATTAATAAGTTAATAGGTACGAATGCAAATTAACATGTTCAAAGATAAATAGCTTTGTATTTGAGTGTGTACATGTAATTATTGTTACACGTCCGAGCGGTGGTGTCATTTATGTAATTGCCACACTGTAGATTTTGCGGCAGCATTTTCCCGCTTAAATTACACCAATTCAAACGAGAGCTCGTGATCGATATGTAGCTGTCAAAAATGGAGCGTTTGTCATCCATCCAAAAACCATCAAACAAATCCTTTGCTTTAGTTTACAAGGAAATCATAAATTCTCCGGTTAGCTTACATTACAAACAGACCTCTGAGTTTTCAATTTGAATTTAAAACTTAAGCTTGGCATTTTACTAAGTCTTGCACCAAAATCACGCATTTATTTATAATCGATCCATTTTACCATAAACAAAAGGAGGTTATTGTTAAGTAATTTGGAAATAAAAAAAAAATGATTTATCAATATTAAAACATGAATATAAGATAAGCGCTGCTTGATTCATTAATCGTGATTCCACTTATGTGGTATATGAATATGAAGTAGGTACTCCAAACTTTTCATTGATACTACAATTTCGCGATAATATAAAACAGAGCTAGCTTACTGCTTCTGTAATGAACAAGACTGGCCGAATATGTTTGTAATGCTTATAAGTTTTGATTTCCAAGGATTCGACTTTTAAAGAGTGCAATTACCTATCAAAAAAAAAAACACAAAGCCTGAAAAATGTCAATGACAGCTATTATATTTTCGAAACGAGAAGGCAAAGGCTTTTATTTTCACATTAATAAATTCGTTATAGTTTTAAAAATGCTTTAGTCACGTTATTTGATGCGCAGACTAAGGAAAGAATATTTGTTTGCAGTGTACACAGTATGTGACATGGTTGACAAGAAGATCACGAGTACACTTGCGAGTTATGAATAATAACATAATAAATATAATAAATATATGTGACGCTTCGTTTTACATACAATTACTGGAGACAAGTTAGTTTTTTTAANCGTTATAGTTTTAAAAATGCTTTAGTCACGTTATTTGATGCGCAGACTAAGGAAAGAATATTTGTTTGCAGTGTACACAGTATGTGACATGGTTGACAAGAAGATCACGAGTACACTTGCGAGTTATGAATAATAACATAATAAATATAATAAATATATGTGACGCTTCGTTTTACATACAATTACTGGAGACAAGTTAGTTTTTTTTAATGTACGCAATGTGGGCGGTATGTAACTGCCGCCCATACTATTAGTATGAGTGCACTTTTTTTTTCCTTACCTATGCTGATAGCCTTGAGAGGCTATTTCAGCTTCTCCTTGACGTGTAGGTGAGCTCACGGGGCTCAAACGGGGAGTGTTGCTAACACTGGCCCTAGCAAGAGCAGTGCTTCGCAGAATCTACCACCGGATCGGAAACGCGACCCACTGAGAAGATCGGGCGAGACTCAGTGGGCTGTGTCTATGGGTTAATTCGCTTGTCGAGCCCTTCGTCGCAAGCGACGGGTTCGACCAGGACGGTGACCGGTGCTTGTGGTACCTAAAAGGACCGTTAATGGATTGGGAGGATCCGTGTGCACTGGTGAGTCCGCAGGAGTAGGTACCACCCCTCTGCCTATTTCGGCCGTGAAGCAGTAATGCGTTTCGGTTTGAAGGGCTGAACAGCCGTTTTACTATAAAAACGGAGCCTTAGAACTCATGTCTCAAGGTGAGTGACGGCTTCGGTAACTACTCAAAACTAGCTAGGTTCACAAATATTAACAATAGATAAACCACCTCGCACCATTCTTAAATTACTTTTTGTATAAATGAAACTATAGTAAGTTTCTTTAGTAGTAGTCTATAGTAGTCTTGTTGCAAGCACGTTGTCATACTATATATTATACCTTTGTATTTTATATTCCAGGTGTACATTTAATAAACATGATTTTTATGTGATGCGCGCCTACTATTGAATATCACAACGCGAACATCGCCAACATTTAATTTTGATTGATAAAGTCTTTTTAATAAACATATTCTTATGTGATACGCGCCTACTATTGAATATCACAACGCGAACATCGCCAACATTTAATTTTGATTGATAAAGTCTTGATTTTAATTGGAATGTGTGATCATCCCGCGGTAAAAATGAGCAACATAAAGATCCATAACTCAATGCAGTAATTATGGTAATTATGGTAGGCAGCGGCTTGGCTCTGTCCCTGGCATTGCTGACGTCCATGAGCGACGGTGACCACTTATCATCAGGTGGGCCGTATGCTCGTCTGCCTACAATGGCAATAAAAAAATATATGGAAAACAAACTTAAAAAGACGTCTTTATCAAGAATTCAGAACTGTCCATGATGTTTAATTCTTATTTGATGTCATTAAATTATAAAGATATCATAAAATAGTATCAACGTTTGCAAAGGGCTTTGACTTACAACGGAAGTAGGTCAAAATATGATTTACGTAGTACAATGAGATCAAATGCAATAAATCCTTTGGTAACATTATCACAGCGGACATTATCTTGCAAGACAATAAGCGTTTCTCTCTGTGCGAGTCTCTATACAGGAAACATGTTAAATTATAAAATTTGTAATGGCTGTACGTACAAAACGAGTACAAGAAATTACTAATTACAAAAGATTTGAATCATAATAATTAACATTATGAAATTTGATTGTAGAAAATTGAATGATAAAAATTATAGCATAATTATAAATAATGGTCTGCGATTTCTTGTTATTATGAAGAAAAAATAAATTCACATTTCTATACCATATTTCTTCACGATTAATAAGATACTGGGGTTTTAAATTTTAAAATAGGTTATCAAAACATTCTTATTAGTGCGTCTTGTGAACGGTAATGAGAAGTGAAGCAGTAAAGGACACATCACAAGCAGTTATTAACATTTTCCACACCGATCCAACCACCGACACGAGATTTTACTTTGAAAAGGAACTCACCGATAGATCTACGATCAGCCTGGCTGCCGTAAAATTCGTCTAGCTCTTTGGCTGAACAGAGCGGAGTGTCCACCTGGGTCGTCTCGTCAAATTTAGAATAATCCACTTGATATCCTTGTCGTTCACGGTTGTACGTCACAAGCGGAACGAACCTATGCCCCCACATAATTTCACTGGTTGTGTAACTGGAGCGCGCCTGTGTGGTTTGACCCGTCGATTCGATTGTTCCTTCCAATATAACTACTATTTCGAATCTTTCTTGTAGTACGTCCGCCGCTGACACTCCGTAGAAGGGGCTGTCGCGATTTATTCTATGTACCATTGTAATAGGCCAGATGAAGAAAAGATTGCTGTCACATCCATCTGCGTTGAGTTCTAATTCGGTTTGATAATGCGACAATACCTCTCCTTCTTTAGTCGTCCGCGATCGAATCAACTGCGCTCTCACGCTCGCCCCTATTATGTGCGATTTCCTCAAGTCGCCCACTCGGAACATTAAACTTAACTCGCCATCTCTTTGACACACGACTGCATACTTCGAGAACAGTAACGTCTGCGTCCTATGCTTAGGTCTTGTCATCTTTGCGAACACGATGCCGACCATGAACGCCTGAATCATCACACCGACGATACTTTGGAGGCACATTATGAAAATGGCCTCCGGACATTCTTCCGTTGTAGTGCGGGCACCGTAACCAATGGTGTGCTGCGTTTCGATACTGAACAAGAAACACGACGTGAAATCGTTTATGTTAAAAACGCACGGCTTCCAATTCGCAGAGTCCTGTAATGGCGGTAGGTGGTCCGGTTCCAGGTCGCCGTGCGTGAATGCTATCAGCCACCAGATCAACGCAAAGCCCAACCACGACAGTATAAACGATAGTGTGAAAACAAGGAGGGTCCACCGCCATTGTGCGTCAACTAAAGTCGTGAACATGTCTTGCAGGAATCTCAACCGCCGCTGAGAGATTCGGGACTTGAGAATATTGCACTCTCCATTTTTGAGAATCGCTCTCCGTCTAGTCCTTCTAGTGACGCCATGCCGGTGCGATCGGCTCCTGTAAATAAATATTATAATTTGTTTATTTATTTATCCAGTAATGTTACTTAATACCTGTGATCGTATTGTATTTTAACATGTGTGAATGTCTAGTTCACGCTTGCACTGTCGGTGTGACGTCGACGGCCTTCGTTAATGTTAATATCGTTTATATACACTGACTACTATAGGCTTTCTTACGCTAATCGTGCATAATAATATTCTAAAATTAACATAAAAATTAATGCAACATAAAAACAGAATGAGTCGAAACGCCAATAAACGGACAAAAGCGAAACAGTACGGTATGGTTTCGGTCGGTGACGGCAGTTGCTTGGTGGCGTCGACGAACCTCTTGCTGCCTGTTGGATAGTAGACTCCGGGCGATAGGTTCCCGTTGGTGGGTACCGTCTTGACTTTGAGCCACTCGTCGGGGAGCAGCTGTGTCTCCTCACGACAACAGGGCGACTCGGGATCGGCGTGCATGGCGGAGTCTGGTGCGCAGGCGTCGTGCGCGCGTCTCAATCGCGTACTGTCTGCGCCACCATCCCTCGATGATCTCAAGCCTCCTGAAGCATCGCGCCTGATAATATTTCGGTCACGACTGACAGACACTCTCATACAACGAAGCGCTAAATGTTTTATAATTGTACCGCGGACTCTGTATCGGAAATTATCGGCTACGCAAAATAAATTTTAGTTAGTGTCTACGTAGACGCTACGGTAACTACAGGGTGTAGGTTAACAATCAAGTTTTTTTTTAAAAACATATTATGTATTCCACGATACTTTATTCGATTATCAAAAGTTTTTGCGAACTTTGTTTAATATTATATGTAGTTTTGTTAGTCTAAATATCTCGTCTTTGTCATAGATAGCTTTGTAATAAATAATAATCACAAAAACATACAATGTAGTGGCTATTTTCACTACGACGCGTAACAGTGCTCACGTGGTGAAGTTCCAAAAATCATTTTTTTGTTATTTGTTAATTCTGCACGTGTATCATAACATTATTGATTTACCTAAAACTGTTCCGAATTGTTTCCGACAATCATTGTGAAGCGTCAATAATTTTTATTGTTTGTAAATATGTATTTTTCAACGGCAACTAAGACAGTACTAAGAAGATGACGGACGCTAGCTAATAAATTGTAGGGAAATATTTATTTTACACTCGATTTGCGAATATCCGTAATTGGAAACATGAATAATTTCAATTTTGCCAAAATAGAAAGGCCTAGCGTCAGGAGTAGTCGGCTATGACATTTTTTTTATTGCCCTTGTAGGCAGACGAGGATACGGCCCACCTGATGGTGAGTGGTTACCGTCGCCCATGGACTTCAGCAATATTCAGCAATATTATATTATATTATATTTAGCCTAAATCGTGTAATGTAATTGAAATTTTATCTTGGCATTGGTTGAAAAAGAGTTTTCTACGAGGCCATGGCGACGTGTCGCATGATAAGAACAGTAATTTGATTGACACTACCGGAAAATAATTTCTTATTGTTCCAAACGTTCATTAAATATTTTAATTTTTCACAAACTGCAAATAAAGTACCTGTGTATTCTTATGTTTGTGTTTGGAGAGTTGGACAGATATTGGCTGGACACTTCAACCCTAGAGCATAGACTCTACCTCCATTTTTAACGTTTATTTTTTCATATCCTTCTTTCATTATCTCCTTACAACATTCGCAAATATGTTAGAAGGTACAAGCAGATAGATATTCCTACCGTTGGGAGAACGGCCAAGATAATTTTGGAAAAATACCAAAATGCCTATTAGGCACCTGATAGATTGTCTGAACAAGTGACTTTGTCTAAATTAATTTCACTGTAAAACTCTTTTGTATGTTAGCAAGAAATAGCTTTTGAAGTATTGCCTCAGGTGCATTTTTCATTATGCTTTCTAATGAGAAGTCCCGTGTACAATTTAGGTGCTGTAATCAATTGTTCTCTCAGAGCCTTTTTTAATGATATGGATAGTTTAATTTCCTTACTTTCTTAGGAAAACCCTTGTCGTATTAGTGTTTTACCTTAGAAATGGCCTTATTATATAGTATCCAGGTCTTTAAAGGATTTCGAAGGCGTTTGTGTATTATAATAAGTACTAGCTGACCCGGCAGACTTCGTAGTGCCACATTCGATAAATAAAAGACTTAAACTTTTGTATAAAATAAACTTAAAACAAACAAAAAGAATCCGTCCGACGGGGGACGACACATCAAAGAGAAAACAAAATTGTTATTTTTATTTAATTCCGAGCATTTTCGTATTTATTTACCTTTTAAACCTTCTCTGGACCTCCACAAATAATTCAAGACCAAAATTAGCCAAATCGGTCTAGCCGTTCTCGAGTTTTAGCGAGACTAACGAACAGCAATTCATTTTTATAATAATATATAGAGATTTCAATTCACAACATACAGACTTAAGCACGATTAAAACGTGTTATTCATTATTCGTTATACTTTTTTTTACGTATCAAGAAATCCCATAAAAGAAGAAAAAAAGTTAAATAAATCTAATATTTAAAAATTGTATTAGGAAATAAACAATCTATATACGGAGACACGCCTCTAAAATTTTCATTAAAATGGCTAATTTGACAGCGCGCAAATTGATTTGCTAATATGAATATTTTGCCTTTACTAATTTGTTGCTCTCGATCGCACTCTGAAGGACGATCAAGGATAAAAAGTTACTAGGGCGAAAATATCGAGAATTTAATTTTGTTTCTAGGTTGATTTTAAATAAGGAAAATCCCAGGAAGCTGTATTTTATTTTTTCAATGGGATTTTCATACTTTAATTTAGTCAAATAGTCTGTTTTAGATTTTTTAAGTTTTAGACTTCCACTGTTCAAATTATGAATTTAACGAGATATGATTTTATTTTATTTTTTATTATATGTTTTTGATTTTTTCTGAGAACTCAATGATGGTAGAACTTTTTATTACCTATTAAGTAAAGAGTTTCTAATCCAATAGTGTTTCATTTCATTTTTGTCTTTTGAGATTTGTGCATTTTCTCTTTGTCTGTATCTGTGTCAATGTCAATATTAATGACATTGTTTAATTATGCCGCTATTTCAATGAGTTTGTCAAAAACCGATGATGGCAACCCTATACTCTCTAAATATAAAAATTTTACCTAAAATATTCGCAAATACATTACTGTTTACAATTTGGGATATCAACACATCCATTTATTCACTAAACGACAGGTTGAGCACAATAACATAATATTGGCGTGACTTAATCATTCTCATCTGGTTCGATTCACACCACGCCTCCGAGTCAATAATTTTGATCACGATCCATTAATGAATTGTAAATAGCGCGACACTTTTGATCGTGATCCCAGAATAAGCACTGTCTGACATGTTTTGTGACATTCTCTAGTTTACCTATAAGCTGTGACTACAATTCATCAATACCTACCCGGAGACAATTTTTCTAATAAAATACGTACTCAAGATATGTTCACGATTTACTTCCACGGTGAAGAAATAACATCGTATAATAAAAATCAAACCCGCAAAATTATAATTTGCGTAATTACTGGTGGAAGGGCCTCTTATGAGTTCGCGCGGGTAGGTACCACCACCCTGCCTATTTCTGCCGTGAAGCAGTAATGCGTTTCGATTAAAAGTATGGGGCAGCCGTTGTAACTATACTGAGACCTTAGAACTTATATCTCAAGGTGGGTGGCGCATTTACGTTGTAGATGTCTATGGGCTCCAGTAACCACTTAACACCAGGTGGGCTGTGAGCTCGTCCACCTATCAAAGCAATAAAAAAAAATAAAAAAACTAGCGCCGAATCGGAAACGCGACCCGCTGAGAATATCCGACGAGAAACTCAGGGGGCCGTGTCTAGGGTTGATTTACTCGTCAAGCCCTTCGTTGCAAGCGACGGGTTCGACGAGAACGGTGACCGGTGCTTGTGGTACCTAAAAGCACCGTTAGTGGATCGGACGGATCTGTAATGGCGTGTTTAGGGCATTATGCGTTAAGACTATTAGAAACTATGAAAAATAGGACGATAATACTACTTACTACAATACTGCGGATATTTAACCAATAATACTAACGTAAAAATAAAAACAATTAATTTCGATTATTTTTATTCGCCCATAAGAAATAAGATAATGAGAGTATTAATTCATTTCCGAACACTAAACAAAAACATAATATAACTAAAAATACTTTTACCGTTTAGTCTCGCATTTTTTTTGTGTCTGCGCAATTTTTGCTACTTTACGAATAATTTATGATTTTCGTAGTCACGGACGATTACGTAAAAGTGGTATTAAATGTCTGCTACTCGTAAAAACCGAAGAAATTAGTTAAGAAGTTAAATGTAACCACTTTCAAATCATTTATTTTTGCACGTCGTGTACATTAGTAATAAAAATAAATGTAATGAATAATATAATATGGTAACGGCTTGTATCTAGCATAAAGTTTATGGTTCTAGTTTGAAGCTACAATAATAAAAGGATTTGAGATAAATATAAAACAATTAACTCCACATGAGATGTCACTATCTGGATGAAAATACATTTCAATTGGATTCATAAAATTAAAGCAAATAGCATTCACATATATTTGTCAACGATAAAGTACATCATTACCGTCTTGCGTGTTTGTTTGGACTTTAAATGGTGGATGGAACAATTGTTAAGCAATACTATTGAAACTTGGTATCCAGATGGGTTGGCGGCATTCACGTTCTAAATGTCTATGGGCTTTTTACGAAAGCCACTTTACAGAAGGCTCGCAATAAGCCGAATAAAAGTGATTATTTTTTAATACAAAATTTAACAAAAACAGAATGAAATGAATTATTTTACTATCAACCAGTTTTTTTTGTTAACAATTGATATTGTGGCATAAAAGTTTTAAGGTATGCTCTATTTTAAATTCTTAACGTGTTAATATTCGCTTACATCTTTTCCATCATAGTATTTTTTGATCTTCAAAAATAAAGCCCTAAGTTTAAAAAAA